GACTTGAGTTTGAATGGGATGCCAAGAGTTGAAACCATAACGACATACAAGACTCAAGCATGAGCTGGACCTTGAACTCGGGTCTGATGAAATACATAGGACACCACGAAATACCGATTATGGCCAGAGCCAATACGTTCCTTATTGGCATCAAATCCTTGAGATATGAATCAATAGGATATGATCGATAGGGCACAAAGCCCTCTGTCAGCTAAGGTGGATTCAAATTTGTCCCCTTAGACAAACATCCAACCCAGGTCTACAAGGTCTCCTTGGACGAAGCAACCCATGGCTGCCGACAAGGATCCTTCTGTCAGGTTGGGTCGACTACCTCCTCTGACTAAGTAGACCAGGAACCACGATGGCCCGGGACGACGGAACCATGGGATCTTGATCGGGCCCATCATCCATTCCCCCACCATCCGCTTTAAGTGAACGATGGTGAAATTTCTATTTTAAATATAAAATTTTCCCAAATATCCCAATCCAAATCTTCAAATCTTCCAAACCAAATTCTTCAATTTTCAAATCCAATTTCTACCAATATCCTAAACCCATGCTGCTACTATATGCCAGATAACACGTATATCCTACGTATCTGACCAACGACTAGCCTTAATCGAAAGTTCTCTCTCGTGATTGGGAGGGGTAATTAACTATAGGGGCTTGCGCCTATAGGAAACCAGAACTCAGATCATAAAGTCCTCGCAAAATGAGGGCGAAATCTCTGGGTAGTGTCTTATCTACAAACCCATCTGCCTTCCAAAATTTACCTCGGAACTTAGTTCGTTAAAACTCCCTTGCCGAATAAGAAAAGAGCGAGTGGAGGCCGAGGCCGAATTTTCGGAGCCCACAGTGGATGAGTGGCTTTACCCTTAGAGATAGGATATGAAATGAGCATATACGTGAAAAGCCGAATAAGAAAAGAGCGAGTGGAGGCCGAGGCCGAATTTTCGGAGCCCACAGTGGATGAGTGGCTTTACCCTTAGAGATAGGATATGAAATGAGCATATACGTGAAAAGATTGGGAGTAGCTACAGTGGACGATAAGATTAGAGAGAGTTTCCTTAGATGGTTTGGTCACATTAAACGGAGGCCTTTCGATGACCCGGTAAGGAAAGTTGAGGTATTAGATTTGACTTATGTTAAAAAAGGTAGAGGTATACCTAATAAGACTTGGTTAGAAAATATTAGAAATGGTCTTTCTTTATTAGATTTAAATGTGTATTTGACTTTTAACAGGACACAATGGCAAAAAAGGATTCATGTAGCCGATCCCACGTAGTGGGACAAAGGCTTGATGTTGTTGTTGTTGTTATTGTATGTATGTATTTATCTTGAATAAAATTTTATCGATTTTTTTTTTTTTTTTCTGAATCGTCTTCAACCTGCATCTTTGAGCAAAACATTTGTTGTCATTTTTTAATTTCCTTGCAATATTCTCCACTATCTGACGCACCATCCAAAACTAAATAGTTGTTTCAATTTATGTTATGTAGTTATATTGATGTTGTTACCCTGTAGAGTTTTATGAACAACAAGTTTTCTTCAGACAGCCAGTATTCTAAGCTAAACATCAAAGTAAAATGCTGTACCTTATTTAGCATAAAATGATGTTTGATTTGTTCAAATATATAGATAAGTAGCATGACTGAAGATGGATCTATGATAGCCTTCAACTCATAAGTATGAGTAGCTTACTGTTTTCCCCTCTTAAACCGAGAAATCATTTTTACAGACTGGCAATTGCTATGAAGTAAAATATGCATACTATCATATTTTTAGATCACAAAAAACTCTTAATTTGTATGATTTAGTGACCTGTAGTTTATTGTGCTACTTACACTTGTCAGGTCTTAGCACAGCAGGTGGAGTGAGTTTAGCCATATTGTGTTCCCTTTTCATCCTGTGTATGCTCAAGAAGGAAAAGCACTCTTGCTCAGGTCTCCTCAAAAGATTTACTTCTTTTCAGCCATCCTCCAAATCAGACTCTGAGCTTGGCTTCTCCCTCAATTCCCCCATCTTCACCTATGAGGAGCTCTATGAAGCCACCAATGGCTTTGATTCTTCTGAAGAACTTGGTGATGGTAGCTTCGGTACAGTCTACAAAGGTAAATAATTGTCACAGCCGACTGAAAAACTATTTGATGAAGAACTAAGTGAACAATCTTCCTCTCTCGTGCTTGCTTATTTGCATTACAGGAAAGCTGCGAGATGGACAAGTAGTTGCAGTGAAGCGTCTCTATGAGAACAAATATCGTCACCTCAAGCATTTTATGAATGAGATTAAAATCCTATCACTCCTTCAGCACCCAAATCTTGTCAGCCTCTATGGCTGCACCTCCCGACGCAGCCACGAACTCCTCCTTGTTTATGAATTTGTACCCAATGGAACAGTTGCCGACCACCTTCATGGCCGGCGAGCATCTGAATCATTCCTGCCATGGCGAGTAAGGATGAGCATTGCAATTGAAACAGCAGATGCCCTCAACTACCTTCACTCTATCGAGCCGCAGATCATTCATCGTGATATCAAAACTAGCAACATTCTTCTTGACAACAGCTTCCATGTCAAGGTTGCGGATTTTGGTCTCTCAAGGTCCTTTCCAATGAATGCCACCCATGTTTCCACTGCCCCACAGGGAACACCGGGCTACATCGATCCTGAGTACTACCAATGTTGTCAGCTCACAGACAAGAGTGATGTTTACAGTTTTGGAGTAGTATTGATGGAGCTTGTATCTTCAAAGCCTGCTGTTGACATCACTCAGCAGAGGAATGAGATCACTCTGGCTAACATGGCAATTAACAGGATACAAAGGCAGGAATTAAACGAGTTTGTAGATCCAAGATTGGGGTATCAGTCAGATTACAGTGTAAATAGGATGATCGACCAGGTGGCGGAACTGGCATTTCAGTGCTTGCAGTCAGATGGAGAGTTGAGGCCTTGCATTAAGGATGTGCTTGACATTTTGAGAGGAATTGAAAACAGTGGCTACAAGACTAAATTTTGTGAGGAAATAGATACTTCATCGGAGGAAGCTCGGTTGTTGAAGAGCGCTCTTCCCTACTCCCCAAATTCTGTTACACAAGGTTGGATGAGCAGGGTAACGACGCCAAACACTAGTGTGTGAGACATAGCTAATATTTCAATTGGGCTGCATAAGAAAATGATATCCTTGCTGGATGCCAGTTAGTATGTTGAGGAGAAATATCTGTTCTTCTGGAAAAGTTCAGAAATTTAAAGGATATGTACAGGGAAAAAATCAGCTGAGGATCCCCTGAGTTAGACTTACGGTTCATTTGGGATGGCTTTCTTACTATTATTTTTAAATCAGTTTTCTAATACAAAAATTACAAATTTTGTATAAAAAAACTGCTTTGAGAAGCAGTAAGAAAACTATCGCAAACAAAGTCTAAGATGATGCCGTATTCATTATCTGCCCCACTCATATCCCTTCCACACTTCTTTTTCGATTGTACAGTCTAATAGAGTTTGATCTATACTGCAGAAATCTTATACAGTATGGATGAGCTTCCAGTGAACTTAGCTGCATGACTTCTACGCTATTAAAAATTTGCTGTGAACAAGGTTGTTAATTAGTCTGGCATCTTGTCATAATTAGTGATTTTAGTAATCTGGTGTGGTAGGACTGCTGCTTACTGCTGCTTAGGCTATCGATTGTTTTTTTTTTTAATTGAAAAATCCCTCTAATTCAGAAATCTGGCTGAAAATAGTACTGAAAAATCACTACATGCAGCCTTGTTTTCGGCAGCTATACCTATATTATATTCTTATGTATTAGTGATCTTCGACATCTCGCAATTATTTTGAATTGATTTTATCAATCCTTATTTTTTATTTTTATTTAATTATTATAAATTATTAAACTCTTGTTTTATTAGATTTAAATGAAAATTTAACTATTAATAAGATGATAAATTATTATGAAGTAATATTTAACTTATATCATTGTATTCCATTTCCAATTTTATAGGGAAAATTTAGTGTATATGCCCCCATGATATTTGAAATAGGCGAAATATGCTATGCTTGTTTATTTGTTTCTTGGGAAGGATGCTCTTCATTCTCGCCAAAATGAACTTTTATTACATCCAGTGAACGTACGCTCCTCTACGTTCGGTTTAAGCAAAAAAGCGCCTGTACCGATTTGAAAAAACTCGGTACAACTCGGTACTCGGTACAGGCGCTTTTTTTGCCTAAACCGAACGTAGAGGAGCGTACGTTCACTGGATAAAATAAAAGTTTCGCCAAAATACCCATTGTTATACATTTTCTTATGTATAGGAGCAGGGACATCTTGCCTCTTCCGCTTTGGCTTTTATTACTACTTTTAAGATTCTTTTAAGTTTCTTTGCTCAGGAGGGATTGTAACGATGAAGTTTGAGAATTCTTTGTTCATTGGCAACTTAAGCTTTTATGCGTATTATATTTTCTAATTTTCTATCATGTAACATAGACACACCTAAGTATATAATATTAAAGAGTGTGCTTTTATAATTGATATATCATCAAAAAAATTATGTTAATCAGGCACGAATCTCAATGCAAAAATCAAGTTGGAAATTTTAAAAATTAAATTGGAGACCATCTGAACTCTGATTTTAGCAAACTTATAGTTAACCAAACGTCTAAGAAATATGAACCCAATGAAACCAAATTCGACTCAATCCGAGCACAAATGAGTCTACATCAAGGATCAAAAGCCCTTTTGGAACGTTCAAACCATAATTTGGATTACCAAACGGTCCATGATCGAGTGAATCCACATCAGCCGTCCATTCAAATCACTCTTAATTTATCTTTGATCTTGTTCCTATTTATGGGTCAATCCACTCTTATAAAACTATAAATAGACCCCTCATTTCTCAAATAAAGAGACCCCAGAAGGGGAAGAAGAGAAGGAGGCCTAAGTAAGAAGAGAGATAAGAAAAGGAAGAGAAGCAAGAGAACATTTTTTCCACCAGATTCTTCCTCGACCACCGTCGGACATCCATCTAGCAACCTACTAATGTTAGAGTTATACCCGAACGCCAACTGACGCCTAAATTTTGCCCGTCCACCAAATTTTGTCATACTTCTAACCGACATTGAAGTTCCACCTGTCATTGAACTTATTCTCGTCACAGAACTTTCAGCGGACTTCTACCCAATGTCGTATTTCTGCCTGTCGCCGGATTTCTACCCAACGCTGAGCTTCCACTTATAGTCGGACTTCTACCCAATGTTAAAGTTTCGCCTGTCGTCAGACTTCTTCCTATCATCGAACTTAAAATAGACTTCTACCCAACGTCGGACTTCCGCCCGTCGCCGGATTTCTATTCGACGCCGGACTTCCGCCCTTTGTCGGAATTTTGCCCATCGCCGGACTTCTGCCCGTTGATGGACTTTCATTGAACTTCTACCCGATGTCAAACTTCCGCATGTAACCAGATTTTTACCAATTGTCGGACTTCTACCCGTCAAAAGTCCTTCCAACCTTCGTCACCCACCGACTACGTTCCTTCTAACCTCCGTCGCTAGACAATAATCTTTATGACCTCTATCGCCAGCCGATTACTATCCTTTTGACCAAACAAACACATCAATAGTGATTCTTCTTATTTCAACCATATCACACACTCTTATGATATAAATTTGTAGCATCAAGCCAAGGCCTTCCCCCCAATAAAGGGCCTCATTTATAAATAACTGCAAATACAAGTAGATTCATTCAAACTAGGCTAGGCTCTATGGTTTTTCCTCCTTTTTAAGGGTTTTTCACATAAAAATCTTGGTGTCTCTTATAAATAATGCACCCTCTCTTTTTTATTTGTATATGTGTTGAATCCTCGTACAAAGCTTTGATAACAAACTGTAAATTTCTCTACCGTCATAATAATTTCAGGACGCAACAGTTTGGTGCAGTCTGTGAAATCATCAATCCTGACTGGGGGAAAATTATTGATCCAATCTTAAAAGATCGCACATGTCAACATCCTGATATTAGCCATTGTTGCATCAATTTCATAAGAATCAGATGCGGAGTGGGGGTAACTTTGACTCCAACCGTGGTAAAAAAGATCCTCCTATGCTTTCAACATCAAGATGATATTTCAGAAAAATCTCAGCAAATGTAAGGATACTTATAATTAATTATAAGCTTTATATAGTCTTTTGTTGGACATCTACTCCTTGGGGAAGGTCATAATCTTGACCTCAAAAAGAAAATAATGGTCTAAAGATAGACCATTATTCACCTTTGATTCGAGATATACGTGGTGTCGCCCCCCTCCCAATAAATACAAAATTGATCCCAGTGGGATTCGATTCGACCTCTTATATACAGATTAACATCATCGAGCAAGGCTTTAACATACAACCTCAGATATGCTATATATCATTTATGGGTTCTCTTGGCCTCTTATATATAGGTTAATGTCATCGAACAGGGCTTTAACATACAACCTCGGATAGGTCATATATTCTTGGTGGATTCTTTGGACCTCTTCAATATAGGTTAATGTCACCAAGTAGGGATTTGACATACAACCTTAGATTGGTCATACATCCTTAGTGGATTATCTTGATCACTTCTATATGGGTTAAAGTCATCAAGAAGGGCTTTGATATATAATCTCAGATAAGTCATACATCATTGGTGGACTCTCTCGACTTTTTCCATATAGGTTAACATTATAAAGTAATGCTTTGACATACAACCTTGGATAGGTCTTACATCCTTGGTGAATTCTCTTGATCTATTCCATATAGGTTAATGTATAAAATATAATCATGGATATGTCATACATCTTTGGTGGATTCTCTTGATATCTTCCATATAGGTTAACATCATTAAGCAATACTCTGACATAGAATCTCGAATAGGTTATACATCCTTAGTGGATTCTCTTAACCTTTGTCTCATAGGTTAACATCATCAAACAATGCTTTGACATACAATCTCAGATAGGGCATACATCATCTAGTAATACTCTGAGTGGACAATATTCTATTTTAAAAAGATTTCATTAAAATAAGTGATTGATAATGTAATCACTCATATAAAGACCTTAATAGTCTAAAAAAGCTTAAAAAATATGAGGGGCAATATATCAAAGTATGTTTCAAAGATGCATAAACAATTTAACTTTTTCTGAGGGACAAGTTCTCAACATCATATACAATATCAATGGAGTTACATAGATCCAACATCAAATTGAATTGTACATTTATTCTCATTAGAAGTTAAAATTAAAAAGTACATTTGCATCATATGTACAAGTTAATGTCATCAAGCAATAAATAACTTTAAAATTATCAAATATCCATGGTGGATTCAAGTGACCTCTTCTCTACCGTACATTGAAGCATCTCTTATAACTTCTTCTTATTTAAAAAAAAAATTATTACCTGATCATCATCAGCCCTCTATTCAATTGACACTATTAGTGTGTCGTTAAACTACTAACATGGTACACTACTTTGACTCATTCAATTATATATATATGATGTCCACATATATCAGTATAAATGTATATTGCCTTAGTATAATGTAACTTAACCATCGCCATTATTAGTATTTTCCCTGATGTCTACCGTCAATTATTCATTTCATATCATCCCTCCTCAACTTCACGCTCGACTATTGATAGAGGCACACCCTACAACTATTCCTTCAGCTCTCCACCTGGTCATTGACCACCACTGAATTTATGCTCAATCACCGATCGCCTCCACACTTTCACCTGACCACTTATCATTGTCAAATCTTTGCACAAACATCATAAAAATTCTTCTTGTCTATAAAGAATCATTAGTTATCCTCCTTGGTACTATTACAGTCAGATCTTCTCAAATCACCATCATATGTAAAAGACATTTGATTTTCATCTATCAAGAATAGTTTATTGAGAGAGTAAGATCTCATTATGATTTATTCTACAAAAGAGAGGGGCATAGAAGCTTGATAGGGGATACCACATATCTCAAATAGTGGAATGTCTCTAATATAAAAAGAAGAATATAATAGAAGAAAAATAGGGGAATAGAATAAAATCTCCTTCTACACAAGAGAGGGGCATTGAATTTGAGTAGGGAATTCCACCTATCTCATATAATGAAATACCTCTAATGTAAGAAGAAGAACATTAAAGAAGAAAAATAAGGGAGGAGAAAAAAAATCTCCTTTTACATAAGAGAGGGGCACTGAGATTGAGTAGGGGATGCCACCTACGAAAGATAGTGGAATGCCTCTAATGTAAGAAAAAGACCCGAGAAGAAAAAAATGGAATGAGGAAAAAATTCTAACTTCTTCATAAGGAGAGGGGCATTGAATTTAAGTAGGGGATATCACCTACTAAAAATAATGGAATCCCTCAACTGTAAGAAAGTTAGAATGAGAAGAAATGCATTTTTCCCCTTCCACAATGAGGATATTTATAGGATGAAGGTGGGGGGGG